CAGTCTTGCTGTGGACGGGGAAGGTTGGCGATGCGTCTGTGTTCCGTGTCTGGGGATCTCGGGCGTTTGTCCGCGACTTGTCTGCGGACAAGCTGTCCCCTCGTGCTGCTCCCTGTGTCTTCCTTGGCTTCCCCACTGACGCCCCAGGGTGGCAGTTTTACCACCCCTCCTCTCGTCGTGTTCTGTCCTCCCAGGACGTCACGTTCGACGAGTCAGTCCCCTTCTACCGTCTCTTCCCCTACCGCACTCCTTCCCTCCCCCCTCCCCCGGACTTCCTTGTGCCGGTTCCCCCCCCGGTAGACCCCCTCCCCCCTCAGGTTCCTGCCCCCTCAGGTGTGTCCCAGGTAGACGCCGTTGACCCGGTCGAGGTTACTGGTGACTCTGGTGCTGCTGCGGGTGCTGAGCCTGGGGGTGCTGACTCTGGGGGTGCTGTGCGCGGGGGTGCTGAGCCTGGGGGTGCTACTGCTGGGGGTGCTGGGCCTGAGGGTGCTACTCCTGAGGGTGCGGAGCCTGGGGGTGCTGAGCCGGGGGGTGCTGTGCCTGGAGGTGCTGGGTCTGGGGGTGCTGGGTCGGGAGCTGCTGAGCCTGGGGGTGCTGAGCTGGGAGCTGCTGAGCCTGGGGGTGCTGCGTCTGGAGCTGCTGAGCCTGGGGTTTCTCCTGCTGCTGCGTCTCGCCGGGAGCCCCTCTCTCCACAGGAGCTGCGCGAGTGGTTCGCTCGCCGCTGGAGGCGTGCTGCTGAGTCTGGAGGTGCTGCTGGTGCTGGAGCTGGAGCTTCTTCGACCGTCGAGGGTGCGGGTGCTGCCGGTCCCGGAGCTGCTGGACCTGCGGGTCCTCCTGGAGCTGGAGCTGCTGAGGGCGTTCGTGCTGAGCCTGCTGCTGTTGGTCCTGCCGCTGGAGGTGTGGGTGGCGCTGGTGCTGTAGCTGAGGGTGCTGGTGCTGTCCCTGCTGAGTCTGGAGCTGCCGCGCGGCCTCGGCCGTACTTCGTTCCGAAACTGCAGCAGGTTCTTGGTCTTTCTCCTCCAGTAGAGGGTCCACCGCCTGTCCAGTCGCAGTCCCTACTGGAGCCTTCCTCTCCACTGCCTGCTCCCTCTCCTTACACTGGTCCTACTGGAGGTCTTGCTGAGCGTCGTGAGCCTGCGTCTCGTCCCGCGTCGCCTGTTCGTGCTGCTCGCGCTAGTGGTCGCAGTTCGCGTCAGCGTCCTCCTCCTGTCCCTGGCACGCACCGGATGTCTCTGCGTCCGTCCACTGCTCCTCTGCGTGCCCCTTTGCCTTCTCCTCCTGAGTCCTCTCTTCCTGCGCTTGCCGACCCTGAGTCGGACTCTCTTCGCGCTGCGAGTCCTACTGTCACGCGTCTGCTTGCTACTGTCGTCACTGACCCCTCTTTTGAGTCCACTGCTGCGTCTGCTCTAGTCGCTGAGCTCGTTGACTTTGCTGCCCGCTGTCGTCTCGACTACGCTGCTAGTCTTGTTGCTGAGTCTGTCTGTCCTCCGTCCGTCGGGGGTGAGTGTGCTCTTGGCACGGACGTCCTAGAGGACAGGCAGGAGGAGTTACAGTGTCTAGCGGCTGCTTCACCTCATCTCGCGTCTGTACTGCTTGCCCCTGAGGGAGACCCGGATGCACTAGACATCCCGACTCCGCGTTCTTACGCGGAGGCCGTAGAGGGTCCCTACTCCTCTCAGTGGCAGGCAGCTATGGATGCAGAGATGGCTTCCTGGAAGTCCACAGGCACCTACGTTGACGCGGTTCCCCCTCCTGGGGCGAACATCGTCAGTGGCATGTGGATCTTCAGGGTGAAGCGGCCGCCGGGCTCTCCACCTGTCTTCAAGGCACGGTACGTTGCTCGTGGCTTCAGTCAGCGGCAGGGAGTCGACTACTTTCAGACCTTCTCTCCCACCCCGAAGATGACCACTCTTCGGGTGCTGCTGCACATAGCCGCTCAGCGCGACTACGAGCTTCACTCTCTCGACTTCAGCACTGCGTTCCTGCAGGGTAGCCTGCACGAGGAGATCTGGCTTCGCCGTCCACCTGGCTTCACTGGGACTTTCCCTCCTGGCACCCAGTGGAGCCTCCGACGGCCAGTCTACGGTCTCCGCCAGGCACCGCGTGAGTGGCACGACACACTGAGGACTACGCTTGCGGCTCTTGGGTTTGCTCCTTCTACTGCTGACCCGTCGCTGTTTCTTCGCACCGACACTTCCCTGCCGCCGTTCTACATCCTCGTGTACGTCGACGACTTGGTCTTTGCCACAGCGGACACTGCTGGACTCGCCTACGTGAAGTCCGAGCTGCTGAAGAGACACACGTGCACAGACCTGGGTGAACTGCGCAGCTACCTTGGCTTGCAGATCACTCGGGACAGAGCACGCCGCACCATTACCTTGACTCAGTCACACATGGTGCAGCAGGTCCTTCAGCGCTTCGGCTTCACGTACTCCTCGCCTCAGGCCACTCCTCTGCCTACTCGCCACTCACTCTCAGCTCTGCCTTCGGATGAGTCCGTAGAGTCGAGTGGTCCGTATGCAGAGCTTGTTGGCTGCCTCATGTACCTGATGACCTGCACACGACCTGACCTTGCATACCCTCTGAGCATTCTTGCACGCTATGTTGCTCCTGGGAGACACAGACCGGAGCACATGGCTGCAGCGAAGAGGGTATTGCGCTACCTGTGCAGTACGTCGGGCATGGGGCTAGTGCTTGGAGGGCGGAGTCCAGTGGTCCTTACCGGCCACGCGGACGCTTCTTGGGCTGACGACCAGGCTACGCAGCGGTCGTCACAGGGCTACACCTTCAGCCTTGGTTCCGGCTCTGTCTCGTGGCGGTCTACTCGCTCGTCTTCGGTTCTCGGCTCCAGTTGTGAGGCTGAGATCTACGCCGGGGTCATGGCTGCACAGGAGCTTTGCTGGCTCACCTACCTGCTGACTGACCTTGGAGAGCCGCCTCGTTCTCCTCCAGTGCTGTACGTAGACAACAAGGCTATGCTGGCCTTGTGTCGAGAGCAGCGCTTGGAGCACAGAACGAAGCACATTGCTCTCCGCTACTTTCTTGCTCGTGAGCTGCAGCAGCGTGGTCAGTTGCGACTTGCGTACGTGGCCTCTGAGGCCAACACTGCTGATGTGTTCACCAAGGCACTCGCGCCTTGTGACCATCAGCGCTTTTGCACCCAGCTGGGTCTTGTGCCTGTCTTGCCTCACTTGCTCTCCTCTTGACTTTACTTGTACTGTGACATATATATATACCTGCTCTTGCTTGTCTAGTTTTATATATATGTCTGTACTCCTGCATGTGAACTGGCCTCTGGCCCTGCTCTTGTGCTCGGACTGTGTGGTGACTTTGTGATCCACCCTGAGCTTGCTTTGCTTTGCTTGACTGGTCTTGTGACCCCTTGTTCTCCCCCACTTTGCCTATGGGGGTGTGTCAGATTATCATAGCTGATGCATGTTTGTAGGCTATAGTGGGGTAGCACATATGGGGTACAGTTTTCTAGGGTTATATTTGTACCCAACTCTGACTTAGTCATTCTCATTCCTGCTTACACATTTCACAGACCTCCTTAGGAGGGGGGGGTAGTGTAAGGAAATTCCCTTTTCCTTACTTCGCGTCCCTGCTCAACGCGTACATCACTGTAGCACCTCAGTCAGCACCGTTACCACTCGCGACCATCGCATCATTCATCATCCCGCCCTTTTTCGCACATCGCATCCCGACCTCATGGCTCGGCTGGTAACCCGCGCTCCGGACCTACGCTTCGACACTTTCCCAACCTCAGTCCCAGGCTCGTCGCGCGACCATTACCGTTACCACGGTAGTTTCGCTATATAATGTTCGCTCATGCCTTCGCTCATTTGTATTCTTGCTTCGATAGTGCAATTCTCGTTCGTTCACTCAATTGCACTCGTAACACTCACCGCCAATAATGGTGGCGGTTGTCGCTGCTAATTTCAACGACGTTCTTGCTCTGCATTGTTGGGAAAGGGTACATTGAAGAATGCATTGGAGTAACGCAAGAGCATACTACGGTTGAAAGCGGTTCTGGTCAACCCCGCTAGTACCGCTTTCTACCGTGTGTACTTGACAATCTCTGCACGCACACAACCTGAAATTCTCGCTCGCGACTCGTTTGCGAAGTTTCATGGCGACTCGTGGAGGCTGAAAATAGTCGCCCCTTGAAACCACATCGACACTACGCATAGTTCTGCAGGCACCAAGTTTATAGATTATAACTCGCGCCTCTAAACGTTGGCTGCAACCTGAGATTTACCGACTCTACGCCTAGATTAATTTCGAAGACTCAATTGAGAAAACAGAGTCTCCGTAATTCTGTTTGCCCGTTTTTATGTTCAATACGCTCACATTGTATCCTTGACCTCAATGGGGCAATCATCGTCCATTTTTTCCATTACACAAATAACACTTGTGTATCTCTTTGTATGACGAATGACAGCCTTTAAAGGGGTCATTTATTCCTCCTCCCTCCAACTCCACACCTTCCTCGCACCCCCCTCCACCCCCACTTCCTGCTTCCTTCAAATGCCACGTGCCCAAGGCTCGCGTCGCGTGTTCCATTTCAAGGGGTAGCGCAGTTTCGCTCGCAGCCAACAAAACTCGCCGCAAGCAGCCCCCCGTTCGCACTCCGCCCCACCCCGCCCCATCCCTCCCTTCCCTTCCCGAGCGCACCCTCCCCCCACACCACGCCCACTCAACACGATTCTTGCCCCACCCCACTTCGCGCCGTCTGCGGTTGTTGCGTAGTGTCTCAATTCTTACATTTGCACTAGCCTTCATTCAGACAGAACACACAGTCTTGCTACAAATCACTTACTAGAAACGCATTTTTGCAATCCGTTACGAATCTAGCTCGACAGTCAAGCTTCCCCAATACTAAGGTCGGTTCTGCTGCCTCCCCGCGCCCTTACTACGCCGCAAAAATATTTATCGTCGTTCGTCTATCGTCGTCATGAACAGTCCCGTCCCGTCACGCCCTCCCGCGCTCCGCGCGCCCGATGTCCCACCGCCAACACTGTCCAACTTACCCGTTTCCTCTCTTTCCTCCCTTCCCCCAACCGCATCGCTTTTTCCGCGCACATGCGTCTCTCCTCGCACATCGGTCTCTCCGCGCACATCTGTTTTTCCGCGCGCAGCGCCATCCGCCGTGTTATGGGCAACAGTTCTAGCAGCCACCATCGCAAGCACCACCACCACGACGACCAGCGCCGCCCCGACAGCCGCTACGCCTCCCACTCCGGCCCGCTCCCCCGCCCCGCTCACTCCGCGCCTGCCGGTCCCGCGTATTCCGGACCCGCTTATTCCGGCCCCGCGTATTCCGGTCCCGCCAGCCCCGGCGCCGCGTGCCAGCACCACAGCGGCGGCGTCAGCAGCAGCAGCGACGGCGGCGGCGGCGGCGGCGAGTCGTACAGTCGCAGCAGCTCGTTCGGATACTCGCGCGCGCTGCAGCAGAAGTACGGCATCATCCCAGACACCTTCCGCTCCATCGCGCAGGTGCGCGGACGTCGGTTGGACAGACAGGTGATATTTGGGGCAGGTTGTATCTGTACTTCTTCCTTTGAGGCCCCGCAGAGGCTCAAGAGCAGGTCGTTTGGTTATCCGCGCGCGCTGCAGCAGAAGTACGGCATCATCCCCGACACCTTCCGCTCCATCGCGCAGGTGCGCGGGCGTCGATTGGACAGACAGACAGACAGGTGATATGCGGGGCAGGTTGTATCTGGAATCCTTCCTTTGGGGCGCGTCAAAAACGACGTGTTGCTGCAGCAGCAGTACGGCATCATCCCCCAGCACCTTCCGCTGCATCGCGCAGGTGCGTTGGCCACGTGGCGTGTGTGTGTGGTGGACAGGTTGCATGATCTTTGTCCCATGCGTGGCAGTTTTTGCTCGTCATCCACACGTGACACGTTGGCATGTCCCTGCCACGTCACCTCCTCGCTTTTCCTCTCTCCCTTCCCCACCATCCTTCTCGCAGTTTCAGTGTGCTCTGTCTACGTGAAAGAAGGAGTGTTTTGAGACGTCTCAAAACACTCCTTCTTTCACGTGGTTTCAGTGTGCTCTGTCTGTCACTCCCCGCCGTCTCTAACCCTCTCGCCCTCGACTCGACCCCTCGGTGTGTGCCATGTGACACTCTCTCCCTTCCATCCGTCCTCTGACTTTTGAGACGTCTCAAAAGATGACAGTCTCTCCCTTCCATCTGTCCCCTGCTAGTCCATGTGCCCTGCCCCGCGTGCCACCTGCAGGGGCAGGAGAAGCTGCGGGAGGTGGGGTTGGAGTCGCAGTGTGCTCTATCTCTCCCTCCTCCACGCCGCGTTTCTCCCCCTCTCGCCCTCCGCCCGTCTGTGCATCTCCCCCGTGTGCAGGTGCAGGAGAAGCTACGGGAGGTGGGGTTGGAGTTCAGCTGTGAGTTGACTCTCAACTGTTGCGTGTGTCCCTCCCTTTCCCTCCCTACCTGCCCTCCATCTGTCCCCCGCTTGTCTATCCGTCCCTCGTGCGGCCCACTGCAGGTGCAGGAGAAGCTGCGGGAGGTGGGCTTGGAGTCGAGCAACCTCATAGTGGCCGTTGACTTCACCAAGAGCAACGAGTGGACGGGTGAGGGCTGCTGAGTGGACTGGTGCATGCTGAGTGACTGATGCATGTTGACTGGGCTGGTATGTGCCTGCTTGCTTCTGGAGTCGAGCAACCTGCAACGAGTGGACCGGTGAGTCATGGGTTCTCCTGTAAGTCAACTGCCCACTTTGACCCGTGCGCGCTGACTGGACGGGTGCGCGCTGAGTGGACGGGTGCGCGCTGACTGGACGGGTGCGCGCTGAGTGGACAGGTGAGCGCTGAGTGGACGGGTGCGCGCCTGTTTCAGTCGAATCGCCTTTAACTGGCTTTGCACGTCTTGTGTAGTGTTGGTTGCGAGAGGATTATAAAGTAAGTCACGTAGCGAGTGGTCATAGCACGCACGCCGCTCCCCACCACGAGGAGGAGTAACTAGTCTTTCCTCCCCACTCCATCTCCCTTGCCCACACTCAGCCTCTTTCTCCCTCCCTCATTCCACCTCTTCCCACCTCCCTCCACCCATCTCCCTGCTCCCACCTCCCACCTCGTCTCGTCCCGCTGCCTCCCCAGGCAAGCAGAGCTTCAATGGGCGCTCACTGCACGCAATAGCACCAGGTGCATCAAACCCGTACGAGCAGGCCATTGACATCATTGGCCAGACGCTCTCCGCCTTCGATGAGGACAACCTCATCCCCTGCTACGGCTTCGGGGATGGTATGTTCTGCCCTTTGTCTCTCCCTTCTCCACCTTCTCACCTTCTCTCCCTTCTCCACCTTCTCACCTTCTCTCCCTTCTCCACCTTCTCACCTTCTCTCCCTTCTCCACCTCCGCTCTCTGCCTTCCATGAGGACAACCTCATCCCCTGCTACGGCTTCAGCGATGGTACGCTGCCCCCTCGGTTTCTCTGTCCCTCTCCCTGTCTCGCTCCCTGTCTCGCTCCCTGTCTCGCTCCCTGTCTCGCTCCCTGTCTCGCTCCCTGTCTCGCTCCCTGTCTCGCTCCCTGTCTCGCTCTCTGTCCCTCTCTCTGTCCCTCTCTCTGTCCCTCTCTCTGTCTCGCTCTCTGTTCACCTCTGCTCCCTCACCTCTCCGCCTGCGATGAGCACAACCTCATTCCCTGCTACGGCTTCGGCGATGGTACGTCTCTTCTCTCTCCTTCTCCCTCCCACTCGCTTTTCCTCTCCCTTTCTCTCTCCCTCTACTGACGGCCTTCCATGAGGACAACCTCAGCCCTTGCTGCAGCATCGCTGATGCTATGCTCTGTGACTCTGCCCATTCCCTCCACACACCCCCCCCCCCCCCTTGTTGAACCTCCTTGAAAGCCTGAACCCCCCACGCAGCCGCCTCTCATGCAGGGGTAGGTACCGTACCCACGTGGCCCCTTCTCTTACACGGCGAAGCGAGCAGGGATGCCATTGCCACGGACGGCTGCATGAGAGGGGTGCGGCATGGGGTGCATTTAAAGCCTGAACCCTCCACGCAGCCGCGCCGCCTCTCATGCAGCGGTACGCACGTGCCCCCTTCTCTTACACGGCGAGCGAGCAGGGATGCCATTGCCACGGACGGCTGCATGAGAGGGGGCCGCATGGGGCAGTGCCACTGTCTGTCACCACTCGCGCTGGCTCCTCCCTGCCTCCCCTCGCAACCACTGCACCTGCAACGGGTCGAACTACGCGCGGGGACGCAGGCCGGTGTTCTAGTGCTCTCCTTGCCCTACCTACGCCTGCCCTATTACCCCCCAACACCTGCCCCCTTCCCCGTCCCCAACACTCGCCCCCTTCCGCTTCTTCCCAACACCCCGCAGTCTCAACGCACGACAAGGCAGTGTTTGCGTTCAACGAGGGGCAGCGGCGCCCTCTGTGCTTACCCTGCCTGACCTACATCTCCACATGCTACCTACGCCCCCCACAACTCCTCCCTCCCCCACGGCAGTCTCAACACATGACAAGGGAGTGTTGGCGTTCAACTAGGGGCAGCGCCCTCAGTGCTTACCCTGCGCTACCTACCCCTCCACTCCACACCACATGCTACCCAACGCCCCCCCACACCCCGCAGTCTCAACGCATGACAAGGCAGTGTTTGCGTTCAACGAGGGGCAGCGGCCGTGCAACGGCTTTGAGGAGGCGCTGCAGCGGTACCGTGCCATCGCCCCCCTCGTGCAGCTCTCAGGTGCCATCGCCCCCCTCGTGCAGCTCTCAGGTGCCATCGCCCCCCTCGTGCAGCTCTCAGGTATGCCTGCTTGCTTGCCTGCTTAAGCTGGGTTGGGCTGGGTTGGGTTGGGTTGGGTTGGGTTGGGTTGGGTTGGGTTGGGTTGGGTTGGGTCAGCTACCGCAAGTGCAGTGCTAAAGTATCGGTGCCTGAATTGGAGCTCATGTTTCCCGGCCACATGACTTCCCATGATTAGGAAGGAGGGTTGTGACAGGCTGTGCCGTGCTGTGTTGTGCCGTGCCGTGCCATGCCATGCTGTGCCGTGCCGTGCCGTGCCGTGCCGTGCCGTGCCGTGCCGTGCCGTGCCGTGCCGTGCCGTGCCGTGCCGTGCCCGGCCAACATAGGTGCTGCGTTCTCCGTGCCATGTCTGACTGCCTCAGCCCTCAGGATTCCTCTCCCGCCCCACTTTCCCTTTCAACCCTTTCTCTCCTCCTCTCCCCATCCTCTCCCCATCCTCTCCCCATCCTCTCCCCATCCTCTCCCCATCCTCTCCCCATCCTCTCCCCCATCCTTACGCCGTGTGCGTCCGCGCAGGTCCCACGTCGTTCGCCCCGGCGATAGAGGCGGCGGTGACGGCGGTGGAGGAGAGCGGCGGCCAGTACCCCGGCCAACCCTGTATCTCACTGGATCGCCTGCCACACTCCCCCCACCCTCCCCCCACCCTCCCCCCACCCTCCCCCCACCCTCCCCCCACACTCCCCCACACCGGGCCCCACTCCCCCCGTCACCCTCCGCTTACCTCCTCTACTGCACCCCATCCCCTGTCCTCTCCCCTTTCCATTCCTCTGTTTGCGTCCGCGCAGGTCCCACGTCGTTTGCGCCGGCGATAGAGGCGGCGGTGAGGGCGGTGGAGGAGAGTGGCGGCCAGTACCACGTGCTGCTCATCATTGCTGATGGCCAGGTGCAGTGCGGTGCTTCAGGGTGCATTGCGGTGCTGTGGGATGCTGCGCGGTAATATGTATGTATGGCAGAGTGTGATGTGAGTGCCGATGTGTGGTCTTTGGTCCCTTTTTGTTCTGGTTGCCAATGGGTGGTGATGGGTGGTCATGAGTGGCGCTGGGTGGTACTGGGAGGTGATGGGTGGTGGTGAGTGGTGACGTATGGTGATGTGTACCTATGGCAGGTGAGTTATCATTCCCCAATGGTGATGGACAGGCTATGCGCACCTTAATTCGCCCTAGACCTTGGATTGGCGTTGGTTAAGGGGACAGAAATTCCTCCTGGGTTCACCCAAAAAGGGTGACTCTTGAGTGGACTCGAGTGTCCCAACAGCAGTGCTGCATGTGGCTGGGCTGCTTTCTATTCACGAGGTGACCTTTGAGTCGACTCGAAAGTCACTTCACCCAATAGAGGTGACTCTTGAGTGGACTCGAGTGTCCCAACAGCAGTGCTGCATGTGATTGGGCTGATTTCTCTTTCTTCACCCGCTTCTCTCACTTGCCTCCCCCACCACAGGTCACTCGCAGCGTTGACACGCCACCAGGAGTGTTCAGCAGGCAGGAGCAGGCCACTGTTGACGCCATTGTTGCTGCCAGGTGGGTCTCTGTTGCTGCCAGGTGGGTCTCTGTTGCTGCCAGGTGGGTCTCTGTTGCTGCCAGGTGGGTCTCTGTTGCTGCCAGGTGGGTCTCTGTTGCTGTCAGGTGGGTCTCTGTTGCTGCCAGGTAGGTCTCTGTTGCTGCCAGGTGGGTCTCAGTTGCTGTCAGGTGGAGTTCTTCTGCTGCCATGTGTGTGTTGTCTTGGTTGCTGCCAGCCTATGCAGCTGTCCAATCTTTGCAGCATAACAGAGAGACAACACTTTAACTGTTGCCTCTGCAGCAGGGCATCTGTGTCCTACTGCTTACCTTCCGTGCGCCATACCTCGTGCATCTCTGCCCCGTCACTTGTACATCCCCCTTGCATGCACGCGTTCCCCCCTGGAAGCACTACCTCGGGTCGGGCAGGCAGCAGCAATGCACGTGGGCAGTATTGATGTGGAGCACTCATGTGGAGTGGAGCGCTTATTTGGTTTCAAGGAATCTGCCGGCTTATCTGACTGCCGTGCCCTCCTCCTCCAATCAGTGCTCGCCGCCACGGGCTGTGCGGCATGCTCATGCTTCGGCCCTTCTACATCCTTCTGTCCCTCCTCCCCCCCCCTCTCGCAGCAACTACGGGCTGTCAATAGTGATGGTGGGGGTGGGCGACGGCCCGTGGGACGTACTAATGTTGCTCCCTCCCCCTTGCCCCCTCCTTCCGTCCCTCCTACCCTCCTCCCACAGCAACTACGCGCTGTCAATAGTGATGGTGGGGGTGGGGGACGGCCCGTGGGACACGATGGAGGAGTTTGACGATGCTCTGCCGCAGCGCAACTTCGATAACTTCCAGGTGGGTGGGATGGGCATGGCATGGTGTCAGTGTGCTGCCTGTGTGCTGTCTGTGTGCTGTTTTGGGTAATGTGCGTTGGTGCGACCACCGTGGGACACGATGCAGGAGTTTGACGATGCTCTGCCGCAGCGCAACTTGGATAACTTCCAGGTGGGGATGGGTGGGCATGGCATGGTGTGAGCGTGCTGTCAGTGTGCTGTCAGTGTGCTGTCAGTGTGCTGTCAGCGTGCTGTCAGTGTGCTGTCAGTGTGCTGTCAGTGTGCTGTCAGTGTGCTGTCAGTGTGCTGCCATTCCACCCTCCCCCACCTGTTCCCTCCTACTATTCCAACAGAGCGTCCTACTATTCCAACTGAGCGTCCTACTATTCCAACTGAGCATCCTACTATTCCAACTGAGCGTCCTACTATTCCAACTGAGCATCCTACTATTCCAACTGAGCGTCCTACTATTCCAACTGAGCGTCCTACTATTCCAACTGAGCGTCCTACTATTCCAACAGAGCGTCCTACTATTCCAACAGAGCGTCCTACTATTCCAACTGAGCATCCTACTATTCCAACTGAGCGTCCTACTATTCCAACTGAGCGTCCTACTATTCCAACTGAGCGTCCTACTATTCCAACTGAGCGTCCTACTATTCCAACTGAGCGTCCTACTATTCCAATTGACCATCCTTCACTCCCACATCTCAGTTTGTCAACTTTACTCGGGTAATGGCGGCATCATGAGTCTTTGAGTCGACTCAAATCTTCTTTCCCCCTTGTCTCTCTCTCACACATGTTTTTCTCTCCTTACAACCTCAGTTTGTCAACTTCACGAGGGTTATGGCATCATCACGCGTACCGGATCAGCGCACAGCACTCTCTCAACACTCATGGCCATGCCTCTCCCCCCCTCTCCCCCCCTCTCCGCCCCTTTCCCTCCCCCCACATCAGTTTGTCAACTTCACGAGGGTCATGGCATCATCGCGTGCACCAGAGCAGCGGGCGGCACTCTTTGCCCTCTCTGCGCTCATGGAGGTGCCTCATCAGTACCGCGCCTGCACCGAGCTGGGGCTGCTGGGGTGAGTTGTGCTGATTGGGGCTGCTGGGGTGAATTTGTTAGCGATTTATACAGCATGAAGGGCTGCTAGTGATGCTGTCAGGTCACGGTATCACCAGTCTCTTTGCCCTCTCTGCGCTCATGGAGCTGGGGCTGCTGGGGTGAGTTCATTGGTGCTGCATGCTGCTTGTGCACTTGGGGTGCGTTGAGTGGGCTGGTGCTGCGGCATGCTGGGGGCCCAAGAAGTTGCCTCGCTCTTTGCCCTCTCAGCGCTCATGGAGGTCCCTCTGCAGTACCGGGTTGATCAGTGCTGCATGCTCTGTCCTGCCTGGATTCATACTCAGGTAAGTGATTGTGAGTCCGCATAACGACATGCTTTGTAAAGTAGGGTTCTCTGGGTATAGGGTTGAGGGAAGAAGTGGCGAGTCTGTTGATGTGTTGCTATTGCTGTGCTTGGAGCATTGCTAGCTCCACGAGTAAGCGAGTGAAGGGTGGAACTAAGGCGATGTAAGATTTAGGCAGATGAATTTGGCAGGCGGATAAAAGAAGGGTGGTTCCAACGAGGTTTGAACTCGTGACCTTTTGCGTGTAAAGCAAACGTGATGACCACTACACCATGGAACCATGCCTGATGCACTTATTTTCCTCTTATATCACTGATTGTCGCCTCTCCCCTTCCTCGTGTTTGTAAAATGCATCCCACTCTCTCTCCCCCCCTTCTCCTCTCTCCCCCCCTTCTCCTCTCCCGCCCCCCTTCTCCTCTCCCCCCCCTTCTCTCCCCTTCACCTCCGCACTCCCTCCCCTCCAGTCGCCCCATGGGTCGCATGCCACCATCAGCCCCCAAGGAGCCCCCTCCACGCGTGCGAGCAGCAGATGCTGCAGCAGCCCAAGCTGCATCCCTCGCTGCTGCCAACATGCCCCCGCACCTCAACCCGAATAATCTCAACCCATCTGACTTCAACCCCGGCACCACTCCTAACCCCTTCGGAAACTTCATGGACGCCCCTGCTGCTTATGGCTATGGGGCTGGCAGCTCTGCCACACCCACAGGCGCTGCTGCTGCTGCTGACTCTGTGTCGGGCTCTGGTGGTGCGTCAGCAGCGGGAGGGGGGACGGAGTGCCCGGTGTGCCTCATGTACCCCAAGAACACTGCCTTCCAGTGCGGCCACCAGGTGAGGCCTGCACCAGGTGAGACCTGTACCAGGCTAGGCCTGCCCCAGGTGAGGCATGTACCAGGCTAGGCCTGCCCCAGGTGAGGCATGTACCAGGCTAGGCCTGCCCCAGGTGAGGCATGTACCAGGCTAGGCCTGCCCCAGGTGAGGCATGTACCAGGCTAGGCCTGCCCCAGGTGAGGCATGTACCAGGCTAGGCCTGCCCCAGGTGAGGCATGTACCAGGCTAGGCCTGCCCCAGGTGAGGCATGTACCAGGCTAGGCCTGCCCCAGGTGAGGCATGTACCAGGCTAGGCCTGCCCCAGGTGAGGCATGTACCAGGCTAGGCCTGCCCCAGGTGAGGCATGTACCAGGCTAGGCCTGCCCCAGGTGAGGCATGTACCAGGCTAGGCCTGCCCCAGGTGAGGCATGTACCAGGCTAGGCCTGCCCCAGGTGAGGCATGTACCAGGCTAGGCCTGCCCCAGGTGAGGCATGTACCAGGCTAGGCCTGCCCCAGGTGAGGCATGTACCAGGCTAGGCCTGCCCCAGGTGAGGCATGTACCAGGCTAGGCCTGCCCCAGGTGAGGCATGTACCAGGCTAGGCCTGCCCCAGGTGAGGGCCACACGCTCTTGAGTTGATGGGGCCGTGCAGTGTGCCTCATGTACCCCAAGAACTCTGCCTTCCAATGCGGCCACCCGCTGAGGAGTGCGCAGCAGGTGAGGAATGCGCAGCAGGTGAGGAGTGTGCAGCAGGTGAGGAGTGTGCAGCAGGTGAGGAGTGTGCAGCAGGTGAGGAGTGTGCAGCAGGTGACACCTACATCAGGTGAGGGCCACACATTATTGAGCTCATAGGTTCGTGCAGTGTGCCTCATGTACCCCAAGTACTCTGCCTTCCAGTGCGGCCACTAGGTGAGGACCACACACTCTTCACTGCACCAGGTAAGGCCTTCCCCAATTGAGGCTTGTGCACGCTGCTCACGACTTACAAAGCCACGTGCGTCTAGCTTGCCTCACTTGAAGCATGCTGCATACACTCCTGTCTGGTCACTCAGTGAGAATCATACACTGTACTGAAAACCATTGCCTTACACTCAAAGGGTGCAGCCATGTGTATTGCATGTTACTCCTGCCTGCACCCGCATCAGGTTTTTGCAGAGATTTGATGTGCTGCTGTGTGATGCCTTTCATGTGCAGCGTTTAAGCTCTATTTGTTACTGTACCATTCCTCCCATTGCAATGTGCACTTTCTCCTTGACAGACCTGTGAGGAGTGTGGCAAGCAGATGAACAATTGCCCCATATGCCGTGCACCCATCACCATGCGCATCAAGCTGTACAGTTAAATAAGTGCATGCATTGTAAATGTGCACACCCAGTATTGTCTAGTATGCTTGATGAGTCATAAAACGTCATCTCCTTGTAGTGGGTACACAAGGGAGCAGATGTGTTATGTTATAAGTCAGCATTTCTACAATAAAGAATACGGTACCGCAGCATGTCAGAAGCATCATATTTTGTGCTTACAGAAATCACGTTTGCAGTGCCATGAGATTCAAGATGTAAGCAATTTCTCTCTAGTCACAGTCCTGCCTGTGCTGGACTGAATTCTGCTAGTGTCAACCTGAACAGTTGGGTGAGTAGTAAGCAAGCAATTTCCCTGTAGCCACAGTCAAGGCATATTATCTGCACTGATCTCGTATGGTATGGATCCAATAAATGTACACAGGATGTACCGGTACATGTTATGCAGCCCTACATGATAGCGAGCCCTAGTCAGATGTGATTCATGTGAAAGCCTGCCACAAGCACGATGCTGCTTAGATATCCTCTGGTAACCAGGGGGGGGGGCTCAGGTGGAAACAGGACGCTCAGGTTGAGGGAGAAGCTTATTTCTCGTGCAGCTAAATAAGAGTACATATCGATCGCCGTGTTGAGAATCCTAGCAGCCGTGTCACTTGGTGTACAGCACATCCTCCCACGGGTGGCGGTACAGCGGCTGCTTGAGGCGCTTCTGGTCAAACGTGTGCCTGGCGGGATGGAAGATGCACGTGGGGTGGCAGATGGAAGGGCACAGCACAGGGCAAGGAGCAGACAAGGATGGTTGAGTGGAGAGCCAAGGGGACACAGAGATGAGCATGCAATGCAGTGGCACAAGTAGCGCTTGTGGGCTATGATGAACAACACTGGTCGTTCCAATGAGCGTGCTCATGTGAGGTGCATGGCAGGCTGCAGGTCAAGGGGAAAACAATGACTCGAGTGGCAGGTTAGAGGAGAGCTATGGTAGCTCTGCAGCGTGGCAGAAATATCATCTCACCCGATGAGCCCAATGCTCCTGGAGAGCACAAAGAGCCCGTTGAGGTAGGTACCCCACAGCCACTAAGTTGTCAATCTCCTCCTTGGTGAACATGGCGCAGGACGTGAGCAGGTCCAGGAACGCCTCGATTGCCATGCCAGTCAGCCGCCCCAACAACCCACACCGTGCCTCACTCACCCGATGAGCCCGATGCTCCTGGAGAGCACGAACAGTCCATTCAGGTACCCCACAGCAACGATGTCGTCAATCTCCTCCTTGGTGAACATGGAGCAGGATGTGAGCATGTCCAGGAAGACCTCCAGACCAATCCCCTCAGAAGCTCACCGGCTTGGATATAATCTTCTTACCCGATGAGCCCGATGCTCCTGGAGAGCACGAAGAGCCCGTTCAAATACCCCACGGCCACGATGTCGTCAATCTCCTCCTTGGTGAACATGGCACAGGACGTGAGGAGGTCCAGGAAGAGCGCGCCGATGCAGCCATCCACGTTGAGCACCAGGTTGGCCGCCTTGGTGAGCGTGTAAGTCTCCACCGCCACGGCGTAGTCCATGTGCTTCACCGAAGGGAAGGAGGAACGCGCGTAGGCTTGGAGCAGCTCGACACGTTTGTCCCGGTTGTCACGACTCTTGATACTGGTAGGGATGGTGGGAGTGGGGGGAAGAATGGGGTGTGGGGAGGAGAATGGGGGGAGGAAGAACCGAGGGGAACGAGTGACGGACGGAGAAGATGCAGCCATCCACGTTGAGCACCAGGTTGGCCGCCTTGGTCAGCGTGTACGTTTCCACCGCCACTGCATAGTCCCTGTGCTTCACCGACGGGAAGGAGGCGCGCGCGTAGGCCTGCAGGAGCTCCACTCGCTTGTCGCGGTTGTCACGGCTCTTGATGCTGGTGGGGAGTGGAGGGAGTGAGAGTTTGGGGGTGTGTGCGGGGGAGGGGCGAGGCAGAGAGTGATGGAGAGGGGAAGGAGGTTAGGGAGTTGGAGGTTCTTCTTAGTTGAGTGAAAAGAGTGACGTTGGTGAGCGTGTAGTTCTCCACGGCCACGGCCTAGTCCATGTGCTTGACAGAGGGGAAGGAGGAATGCGCGTAGGCTTGGAGCAGCTCGACTCGCTTGTCGCAGTTGTCACGACTCTTGATGCTGGTGGGGATGGGGAGTGGAAGAGTTGCCAAGGCGAAGCGTGTGAGGATGGAATGAGAAGGGAAGTGGTGAAGGGGAGTGAAGTGAGTCAGTCAGTGCAGAGGCAGTCGGCGACTGTGAAGGATAGGAGCTTGCACATCAGATCACATGACACTCCACCATGCCTCAGAAGTGGAAAGCATCAACGAGGTGGTACAATTGCACCAGCCATCAACCCAAAACGACACGCCGAGCCTGCCACATCAGCACCCAGACGACCACGTGACATGCCATGCCACTATGCAATGTCATGTACCAAAGGCTGTTGCCATGTTACGTACCGATGGCCAATGCCAGGCACGCGGATGCCCTTCCTCTTCATTCCCTCCACGAAGTCATACGGACTCAGCCCCTGAACACAAATGCCATGGCATTGCGGGTCGTGCAGGGTTATGCACGCATGGTAGAGAAAATGGTCGAGAACACGCCATGTTATACACAGCAGGAAGAGAGGGAGCATGGCCCATGCAGCGACGCAGGTGAACAATGAGTCCAAACAAAAGGCAATGCTGGGGTGGGCAGGCAGGGAGATGAGGACGCCTTCTTTGCATGAGAGTGACGGGAGAGGACAATGAGCTGCCACGCAGGCAGCCACTCACCCGCTCCACAGCGTCCTTGAAGTAACGCGCAGCATCATCAATGGCGCCTCCAAAGCGCGGGCCGATGGTGAGCAGCCCTGCGAGGAGCAGGAGGCGAGGACCAATGGCGGAGAAAACAAGATCACATGATGAAGTAGGGAGGGGATTCACACGCAAGAACAGGCTGCAGGGCCAGCAGTGAGGTCATGAGGAGTGACAAGCATGGAAGAGGATCAGACGGCCGCAGCACTGTTGCAACACCAAGTGGTGGTACGGTTGGCAAAGAGGGAACGGAGGAGGACGCACCAGAGACGAGGCAGGAGATGAGGTCCTTGCCGGCTCGCGAGGTTACGATGGAGTTGTGCGCGCCCGACACACATGGACCGTGATCCGCACACAGCACCACACACATCTGCAATGGGGGGAGGGATGGCAAGGGAGGGGAGGGTAAGGGCAATCATTGTTTGTCACACACAGGGACCGTGGTCCACACACAGCACAGCACCACACACATCTGCACGCAGTCATGGCGTATGAGAAAGAATGGGATGTTAACAAGGGGCATGGCGATGATTGGTGGGGGGGAGATGGCAGTGATGGCGGGAAGGAAGATGTTATTGATGGGAGATATTCACAGCAAGAAATTTCAAAGGCAGCTGATAGTGTATGTAAAGCAGTGGTCTAATGAGGGTCTGACCGACACTCAACACATGACGGGCAACGATGTATGTATGTACTACTACCATGAGAGTTTGAGAGGGTCTGGCCGCCACAGCACAAGGGAGAGGCCGAGCTGTTATACCCACACAAGTGACAAGACTTGATCACTTCGAAGAGTGATCATGCAGGGGGGGGGGGATGTAGCTGCAACTATTGATTGGGCGAGGGAGAAAAGGAGAGCACCTCAATGAACTTGGTGCAGTAGGCGGGGAGGGAGCGCTTGAACCAGAGCAGGCACATGACGTCGCCCACCCCAAAGCCCTTCTCCACTATGGTCGAGATGGGCACCCCTGCGTATGTGGGCTCCTCGCCTGCATGGTGATGGGGGATGGGAAGGCGGATAGGCACACACAGGCACACAGACAGGAGATCACTGAGACGAGTATGTGATCCAGTTTAGACATGTGTGAAAACCATATAGATATGTTCGCAAGAGCATAGAGAGGTACCGGTATGAGGTTGGAATCGTGCGTTGTGACTGGTGCAGTGACAGGGGCGCAGATGAGCATAGATTGACACAGAGTTATTTGCAGACGTGACGCGACATTCACATGAGGGCCGCTCGCATCAGCTGCCACTGCTCGCATCAGATGCCACTGCTCACATCAGAATTATTTGCAGAGCATCTCCATACGCCACAGCTCACGCCACCTTGACTCACCATTGTCATAACAGATGTTGTGGTGGAGACGATGTGCATGAGACGACTTTTGAGGCGCCTCAGAAAGAATCCTCACTCACCTCTGTCGTCACAGATGGTGGAGACGATGTGGGTGGGGGCGCGCACTTTGCCCGCCTTGATGGCCGCTGTGAGGTCCTCCGGCACTGTGGGCGGCTGCTTCTCCGCCACTGGCTGGATGGCACCCTCTGCCACCTGGGGCCACCAACAAGGCGTCATGGGGAAGGAGGGGAGGGGGGAGCGAGGGAGATGAGGGGGAGAGCTGGCTGTGATCAAAGGTCCTCCGGCACTGTGGGCGGCTGCTTCTCCGCCACTGGCTGGATGGCACCCTCTGCCACCTGGGGGCACCAACAAGGCGTCATGGGGAAGGAGGGGAGGGGGGAGCGAGGGAGATGAGGGGGAGAGCTGGCTGTGATCAAAGGTCCTCCGGCACTGTGGGCGGCTGCTTCTCCGCCACTGGCTGGATGGCGCCCTCTACCACCTGGTGGCACAATGAAATGGGGGTTTGGGTTGAGAAGGAGGGGGTAGTGAGAGAGATGAGGTGAAAAAGGGTTGTGTTGTGATAATAGCCCCTCAGGTAATGTGGGCGGCTGCTTCTCCTCCACTGGCTGGATGGCGCCCTGTGCTACCTGGGAATCAACAGCAACGAGTGATGGAGGAGGGTGAGAGAGTTGAGGGCGAAACGAAACTGGAGAATGAGGAGGTGTGGCAAGGCTTCAGGGCACTGTGGCGGCTGTCTGCCAGTGGGCCCCCTGGAATGTGGGGACTACCAGAACTGACAGCAAGTGATGACCCGTGGGTGGGTTGAGAGTTGGTTCCACATAGTGACATGACATCCATTTGATACATGAGAGAAAGCCGAGCTTGTGACGGATAGTTCATCTGGCATTGAGGGCAGCGGTATTTTGTATGATTGTAAGGTTGTGTGTGCAAGACACTCACGAGCTTCTCATACGTGGCGCGGATGACAGTCTCCAGGTCCTCAAACGACGTCGGCACGATGGCGCCCGCTGCCTTCAGTGCCGCGTTCTTTGCCTGTGCTGACTCGCTCTCCCCTCCGCTCTTGGCGCCCTGGGGAAGCAATCGTGGAAAAGGATAAAGGCTTCTGGCTGTAAACATCGTGACGCGCGTTTCTTAGCACAGTGCCCCCCACTGACGTGGGCGCCGCAACTCATAGCTCTCACCTCCAACCAAGGGAGAACCGGGGAAGGATGTCAGCATGCAGGAGGGAGAACAAAGTTTGAGGAAACAAACGTGATGAGGTGCTGTAACCAACGCGCAGCGAGGCGTCAGCCAATCGAGCCAGGATGGAAAACCAGCTGCCAAAGCTCAGTGGCTTACAGCGTGGCCGAACTGCACTTCGGACTTGAAGAGAGTGGCGCAGGTGCCACTGACCCACGCCACCACGGGCTTGTTCACGCGCCCCTCCTTCAGCGCCTCCACCAGTGAGTACTCGTCCGCCCCGCCCAGCTCGCCCAACACCACTATCATTCGGATCTGACCATGCACAGAAAGGAGTGGGAAGAGGAGAGGGGGTTTAGGGGATGGAGGAGGGGGAGAGGGTGAGACACAGAGGAGGGGGATGGTGTGTGGAGTCAGGCGTTGCATGGATATGCGAGGAGAGAAGGAAAGATGGAGACGTTTGGATTGGAGCGGCGAAGGCGACAAACAAGAGCACACATGCCAAAAGAGTTGGCAGCGAACGAGCATGTAGAAGCAATCACGCAACCCCATGGCTCTTCTGGCTGGCCCAAACGAACTTGAGGAGAATGGTGAAACACACGCAAACACGTGAACCTCGTGCGGACCACAACTCTCATACCTGCGGAATGTTGTTAAATCTCAAGACGTGGTCTGAGAGCGTGGAGCCAGGGAAGCCATCACCGCCAATGGCGATACCTGCATGGGCGAGGAAGAGAGAGAGCAGTGCAGCAAGTGGGCATCACCATTGGTCTTGACACGTCTGAACACTCTGCTGGGCAGTCACCACTATTCATGAACAACCGGGACAAGAGGGAAACGCTAGCTGCTGAACGAACATTGCCAGTGATTGCCTTGAGAAAGGACTGGAAAGTGGTTGACATAGCCTGGGTCAAGACTGACAGGCAATCTTGAATGACTACTAGATTATCCACCCCTTCCTTCCTCACCTTCGTAGAGCCCATCTGTAGTGCGCGCCAGCACGTTGTACATCTCGTTCGACATGCCTCCCTGCAACCACACCACAGCACGGCACCCCGGGTTACAACACAGGCCCGGAGGAAGGGGCAGAAATGAGAAAAGAAACGCAACAAGGCAGAATGAGGAGAGTGACAGGCAGATCCACGGAACCAGAGGGGCCTCACATGCACTGCAATGCAGCTGCAAGGTCAGTGCCTCACCGACTTGGAGACGAAGCCGACGGAGCCAGGGCGGTAGAGCCTGCAGCTGATGATGTTGTCCAGCGTGCCCGCTGTGTCGCCAATCTTGAACGCTCCTGCCTGGATGCCACCCACCGTTGCCGGGCCAATAATCACCTGTTGCCCAAGCGTCACAACACAGCGCATGTCCGTCAGCCGCGCTACAGTAGTTACATGAGAAGAGGAAGTCAGAAGCAATGGGGCTTGAAGATCGGCTGGTGAAACGGGTGTGAGATGCGGCATGCTGGGAGGTGGAAGGATGGCCAGGTGGTGTTGCTGTCAGCGCGGGTACCTTGTTGTTGGCGCGCGCGTAGGCGATGAGCGTCTTGGTGTCGGCCTCCGGCACGCCCTCTGCGATGATGGCCACCACTCGGATGGTGGGCTGCTTCAACGCCTCGAACGATGACTCGAACGCACTGTCGCGAGGGGTGGGGTGGGTCAAGCGCACGGGAGGTCAAGTCAAAGAATGGTTCCAGTACCCAGTTACGCATAATTATGCGCGGCAGTGCGTTGTTGAGCAGTGAGTTGTGTGTAAAGTGCGCGGTGCTTAGTGGTAAGACGATCATCCATTCAACAAAGCCACACCTTCGGAACGAGGCGAAGTTGACGAAGACGTCAGCCGTTGGATGCGCCTTGCAGGCCGCCGTGATGCTGTTTCGAGAACAAATACAAGGACGGAACAAGGTATGAGGATGCTTGCATAACCGTCGTGTTTTGAGTCGGATTTGAGGTAGTTCGGCATGGCGTGCATACAGACGAACGATGCTGATAGCGAGGCAGGTGCGGATTAAAAATTCTATTCGCAAAAAGGTACTTACCTGGGGTGGACCGGAAGCGCGATCTCCTCTTGACCGAAAAAGAGCTTGTGAAAGCCATCAGATCCCGGTGTGATGATGCCGGCAACAGAGGGTAGATTTCGACCTGGGAAAGAGCGGAAGAGATACCGAACGGTCGCATGAGCTTTGGAAAGGATATGGACCCGTAAATCTAGCAGTCTGGCCAGCAGACTCTTGAGTTTGAGCTGTCCTCCCTAGCTAGAGCACGGGCCGAGAAGGCGTTACGGAGCGTGAAACGCAATCTAAAAGGCCAACGAAGCTCAAAGCACGAAATCCAGCTCTGACGCTACGTGTTCGTCGCACCGCATAAGAAGTCAAAATCCAGCATCCGTTGAACGGGATTCTGCTTGTAGTTGTAAAACAGAGCTTGGGTGTTCTTCGAAAACAGTTGACCCGTCGCCATTTTGGCTCCACGCTACTATGCAAGACCAGAGGAGATTGATTAAACTTCGCTTTCTGGTCACTCTATTCGGAAGAGAAATGCGATCGATGTGCCTGACGTTGAGAGAGCAAGGCCCGCCTGATTGATGTGGACTTGCTCATAAAATCTCAAATTGACGGAACGGAGATCTCAAGGCAAGCAACACGAAGCACAGCCTCGAAATTGGTTTGGTGGGTGTGCGCCTGCCTGCCTGTAACCGCGGCAGGCGCGAGCCTTGGAGATGCAAGGCAAGTGATGTCTGTCTGCTGTGGTGCGCGTGGGCCTCTGATCTGAGTCAGCCGTGCCTGAGAGGGTGGGACCACACGGGGAAATGTCCACTGGTAAAGCCCCCCCACACTCGGCCACGTGGATCTGGATGCTGACAGCCTCGAGAAAATCGGCGGACTTCAGGTTGGTGGGTCATCGGATTTCTCAATGTAGGCCCAACACACCAATAGATCTGTGTACATGAAAAAAAACTGCTAACCTGTATGAGCCAATCACCACTTTAGTTGCCAGGAAAAATAAGAATGCACTGGTGGAAGTTTTAGGGTTTGAGATGGAAGGAAGTACCATAAATTATAACAAGACTCGTCTTTTACGTCGGAAGGGTTGCGTAGAGTTTTATCCCTTGTATTTGAAACATTATGTTAGAAACATTATGTTAGAAACATTAAGATAGAGTACATACATTATAATTATATTTTGCTTATAGAAGCAATTCATTAAGTTCTTCATTTTTACTTAAAACAGGTCAGGCTCGATAGTTCCCTATTATGAAGTGAAATGTTCTATAGATGTTGCTTCCCTCAAAGTTGTTAATTAATTGTGGAACAACGTGGACATATATGCTCCTTTTGTAATTTTTATAAACATGAATTGTTTTCACCAACAACTTAACTCCATTGTTCTTTCAGGTTATTATAGCGGGTTGGGCTTTTGGCATCGCTGAATGCCCTCCTCCTGTGCTGGCATAAGGGCGTGCTACATTTTTTGAAGTCACTGAAAGTCTGGACGGCTGTCCGGACGGATGCGAAAATTGCGACGTCGTACGGTCGCGTTGCGACCAATTCAATGTCGTAAGGAGGCAATACGAAGAATGCGACGTCGTTTAGACCCTGACGAACTCAATGCCGAGATTTAACGAGTTCAGTAACCACACAGTCGTCCGGACGGCTGGCCGTCAGGACGAAAAAATGAAAAATGTGGCACGCCATAAATTTTCTCGCTCTGCTGGCAGAAATTTTCTCGTTCTGCGCTGGCATCCATCTCTTTCACAGCTCGAATTCGTCGGTGTCTTTTCTTGGTTCTTGTTCTTGAATCTTCTCGACAAGAACCTGCTCTACTCCTACTCCTTTTCCTCCCCTCCCCCCACCCCTTCTCGCCAGTTCTTCTCCCACCTAGCCGTCGCTCTCGCTCCATCCAGCCGTATCCTCTCCCTCACTACCCGCTGACACCTCTCCAACCCACCTCACAATCACTCCGTCCCATCCACCCCGCCATCTCCGCTCCCTTACCTCCCCGCCGTCGCCTCCCTCCTCCTCGCCGTCGCCTCCCTCCTCCTCGCCGTCGCCTATCCTCCTCCCCACCATCGCATCTCCCCCCGCCGTCGCCTCTGCCTCCTCCCCGCCGTCGCCTCCCTCCTCCCCGCCGTCGCCTCTCCTCCTCCCCGCCGTCGCCTCTCCCCCTCCCCGCCGTCGCATCTCCTCCTTCCCCGCCGTCGCCTCTCCTCCTCCCCGCCGTCGCCTTTCCCTCCTCCCCACGGTCGCCTCTCCCTCCTCCCCGCCGTCGCCTCTCGCTCCTCCCCGCGGTCGCCTCTCCCCACTCCCCGCCGTCGCCTCTCCTTCCCTCTCCGCCGTCTCGTCCGGCGACAGGTGCACGAGCGCAAGCGCGGGTTGTTTTCTCAGGCACCATGGTTATCAGGTGCGTTCCTGGTCCTTCCGTCCTCCCTTCCCCCTTCTGAAATTTCCGTCCTGTTTTTTTTTTGTTTTGTTTTGATTTTTTTTTTCTCTCCAATGTGTCGATTGATCTCCACTTGCATTGCACTTTCATTTGAAGAAGAAAGAGATGGAGCGCGAGGGAGAGTGTGTGCGCACATGAGAGCGTGTGAGAGAGCGCGTGAGAGAGCGCGTGAGAGAGCGTGTGAGAGAGCGCGTGAGGGAGCGCATGAGAGAGCGCGTGAGGGTGCGCGTGAGAGAGCGCGTGAGAGAGCGCGTGAGAGAGCCCGTGAGAGAGCGCGTGAGAGAGCGCGTGAGAGAGCGCGTGAGAGAACGCGTGAGCGAGCGCAAGAGAGCGCGTGAGAGAGCGCAAGAGAGCGCGTGCATGAGAGCGCGTGAGAGAGCACATGAGAGAGTGCGTGAGAGAGTGCGTGAGAGAGCGCGTGAGAGAGCGCGTGAGAGAGCGCGTGAGAGAGCGCGTGAGAGAGCGTGTGAGGGAGCGCGTGAGGGAGCGCGTGAGAGAGAGAACGCGGTGAGAATGCGAGAGAGAGAGTGCGTGAGAGTGTGCCTGAGAGTGCGCCTTGAGAGAGCGCGTGAGATAGTGCGTGAGAGAGCACGAGAGGGCGCATGAGAGCGCGTGAGAGAGCGCATGAGAGAGCACATGAGAGAGTGCGTGAAAGTGCGCGTGAGAGTGAGCATGAGAGAGCGCGTGAGGGAGCGCATGTGAGTGCGCGTGAGAGCGCGAGAGAGAGAATGCGTGTGATAGTCCGCGAGAGAGAGAGAGAATGTGGTGAGAGTGCGCGAGAGAGAGCGCAAGAGGGAGTGCGTGAGAGTGTGCCTGAGAGTGCGCGAGGGAGCGCGTGAGGGAGCGTGAGAGAGCGCATGAGAGTGCGCATGAGAGAGCGGGTGAGAGAACGCGTGTGAGAGCGCGTGAGAGAGCGCGTGTGAGAGCGCGTGGGAGAGTGTGTGAGGGAGCGTGTGAGGGTGCGCGTGAGCGTTTGAGAGAGAGAATGTGCGTGAGAGTGCGCGAGAGAAAGGACGTAAGAGAGAGAATGCACGTGAGAGAGCGTTTGAGAGAGAGAATGTGCGTGAGAGTGCGCGAGAGAAAGGACGTAAGAGAGAGAATGCGCGTGTGCGTGCGGGAAAAAGAGCGCGAAAGAGAGCGCCTGAGAGTGCCCCTAAGAGTGCGCCTTGATAGAGCGCGTGAGAGAGCGCGTGAGAGAGCGCATGAGAGAGCGCGTGAGAGAGCGCGTGAGAGAGCGCGTGAGAGAGCGCGTGAGAGAGCGCGTGAGAGAGCGCATGAGAGCGCATGAGAGCGCAAGAGAGCACGTGCGTGAGAGCGCGTGAGAGAGCGCATGAGAGCGCAAGAGAGCACGTGCGTGAGAGCGCGTGAGAGAGCACATGCGAGAGTGCGTGAAAGTGCGCGTGAGAGTGAGCATGAGAGAGCACGTGAGGGAGCGCGTGTGAGTGCGCGTGAGAGGGCGAGAGAGAGAATGCGTGTGATAGTCCGCGAGAGAGAGAATGTGGTGAGAGTGCGCGAGAGAGAGCGCGAGAGGGAGTGCGTGAGAGTGTGCCTGAGAGTGCGCGAGGGAGCGCGTGAGGGAGCGTGAGAGAGCGCGTGAGAGTGCGCATGAGAGAGCGGGTGAGAGAGCACGTGTGAGAGCGCGTGAGAGAGCGTGTGAGGGAGCGTGTGAGGGTGCGCATGAGAGAGCGTTTGAGAGAGAGAATGTGCGTGAGAGTGCGCGAGAGAAAGGACGTAAGAGAGAGAATGCGCGTGAGCGTGCGGGAAAAAGAGCGCGAAAGAGAGCGCATGAGAGTGCCCCTAAGAGTGCGCCTTGATGGAGCGCGTGAGAGAGCCCGTGAGAGAGCGCATGAGAGAGCGCGTGAGAGAGCGCGTGAGAGAGCGCGTGAGAGAGCGCGTGAGAGAGCGCGTGAGAGAGTGCAAGAGAGCGCAAGTGAGCACGTGCGTGAGAGCACGTGAGAGAGCACATGAGAGAGTGCGTGAAAGTGCGCGTGAGAGTGAGCATGAGAGAGCGCCTGAGGGAGCGTGTGTGAGTGCGCGTGAGAGCGCGAGTGAGAGAATGCGTGTGATAGTCCGCGAGAGAGAGAATGTGGTGAGAGTGCGCGAGAGGGAGCGCGAGAGGGAGTGCGTGAGAGTGTGCCTGAGAGTGCGCGAGGGAGCGCGTGAGGGAGCGTGAGAGAGCGCGTGAGAGTGCGCATGAGAGAGCGGGTGAGAGAACGCGTGTGAGAGCGCGTGAGAGAGCGCGTGTGAGAGCGCGTGAGAGAGCGTGTGAGGGAGCGTGTGAGGGTGCGCGTGAGAGAGCGTTTGAGAGAGAGAATGTGCGTGAGAGTGTGCGAGAGAAAGGACGTAAGAGAGAGAATGCGCGTGAGAGAGCGATTGAGAGAGAATGTGCGTGAGAGTGCGCGAGAGAAGGACGTAAGAGAGAGAATGCGCGTGAGCGTGCGGGAAAAAGAGCGCGAAAGAGAGCGCGAAAGAGAGCGCCTGAGAGTGCCCCTAAGAGTGCGCCTTGATAGAGCGCGTGAGAGTGAGCGTGAGAGAGCGCGTGAGAGTGCGCGTGAGAGAGAGAACGTGGCGAGAATGCGCGAGAGAGGGCGCGAGAGAGAGTGCGTGAGAGTGTGCCTGAGAGTGTGCCTTGAGAGAGCGCGTGAGAGAGTGCGTGAGAGAGCGCGAGAGGGCGCATGATAGCGCATGAGAGAGCGCGTGAGAGAGCACCGGAGAGAGTGCGTGAAAGTGTGCGTGAGAGTGAGCATGAGAGAGCGCCTGAGGGAGCACGTATGAGTGCGCGTGAGAGCGCGAGAGGGAGAATGCGTGTGATAGTCCGCGAGAGAGAGAGAGAGAATGTGGTGAGAGTACATTATAAGCGCACCCCCTCAGGTCGCCTCGACGGACGACGGGAGGGGCGAGCTGTGGGGTGGCGGGTATGGGGGTGGCCGGTCTTCCTTCCTCCCTTTGCTCCTCCTCCTCCTTCGTCTCCCACTCCTGCAGCTGTCGCTGAGGGGGGTGGATGTGTGGGAGACTGGGTTTAGGGTTTAAGGGGGGTGTGTGGGAGTAGAGCTAGCGGTGTAGCAGTGGGTGTGTATCAGGGGGGTGGGACTGTGTGCGGGAGGATGAGCGGAGGTTGCCAGTTTGTCGTCAGCAGCACCTGTAGTCCGGGGCGCTGTCCCGGTAGCCCAGTGAGCTAGACTTCTACGCCAGCCGCCTGTGGGTCCGTTGCCCGTCCGCCGCTATTTGAGCCGCGGGGCCTGTTACTCCTGTAGTCCGGGCGCTGTCCGGTAGCCGCTGTGCCAGTCTGCCTCCTGCTGCCCGTGTGTCTGCAGCTTCAGCCGTCGCCTCCTATCTCCTCTCCCCTCACTCTCCCTCCTCCTCCTCACTTGCCCGTTGTGACTACCACTAGCTTTGCTTATAATTGTTAACTCTAAACTATTTCTTCTTGAACTTGTGCTCAGAATGTGTGGTGACATTGTGATCCACCCTGAGCTTGTATTGCTTTGCCTGCTCTGCTGATTACACCCCACTTTGGCTATGGGGGTGTGTCAGAATATTATCTTATTGTTCTAGCCTGTAGTGGGGTGCTCTATAGCGAGTACAACCCTTCTAGGGTTTGCTATTTGTATCCTCATTCTTGCTAGTTCAATCCTCTTTCCTCTTTCTTTCTTCAAACTTTGTCAAGAATGACTGGAGGATCCGGTGGTCAGACGAATCTGACGACTGAAGTGCAACCCAACCTGGCTACGACAGGCGAGGAAATGACGACCATCCCTTCCGCCGTCCTCGCGCAACTACTTCAACGACTCACCAGCCTAGAGCAAGGACCCAAACATTGCAGAATGGCGACGCGGGAACCTCCTCACAACCTTATCAAACGGCTTCAAACGGCCAGAACGTCGCCCCGCACACTTTCTCCCTCGACACAAATGGATCAACTCCCAAGATGTAAGAATGACCAAGAGTGATTGAAGTAGGAAAGAGTTGGGTACAAGTAGGAAACCCTAAACTTACTGTACCCCATAGTAACTACCCCACTACATCCTAAACAAACTGTAGCAGATATGACATTAAACACACCCCTATAGGCAAAGTTGGGGAGAGCAAGGGGTCACAAGACCAGTAAAGGAAGGCAAAGCAAGCTTAGGGTGGATCACAACGTCACCACACACAATGAGCACAAGCAAAGGGCCACAAGGCCAGTTCACATGCAGAAACATATATGCAACACAAACATCACACTGATCTCTACCTAGCAAAGCAAGCATGCAGGCATATATATATAGATCACAGTACAAGCAAAGCCTACAGCAAGTGAGGAAAAGCGTGAACAAGCCCTAGCATAGTGCAGAAACGCTGATGATCACCAGACTAAAGTGTCTTGGTGAATATATCAGCAGTGTTGGCCCGAATGGCCACGTAACCCAGACGAAGCTGACCACGGTGCTGCAACTCTCGAGCCAGGAAGTAACGCAGAGCGATGTGCTTCGTTCTGTGCTCCAGTCTGTGCTCCTCACACAAGGCAATGGTAGCCTTGTTGTCGACGTACAGCACTCAAGGAGAACGAGGCCGCTCTCCCAAGTCAGTCAGCAGGTAGGTGAGCCAGCGTAACTCCCGTGCAGCCATGGCTGTGGCGTAGATCTCAGCCTCACAACTAGAGCTGAGAACTGAAGACGAGCGTGTAGAACGCCAAGAAACTGAACCAGAGCCAAGGCTGAAGGTGTAAACCTGTGACGACCGCTGAGTAGCCTGGTCGTCAACCCAAGAAGCGTCTGAGTGCCCAGTGAGGACAACTGAGCTCCTCCCTCCAAGGACGAGCCCCATGCCTGATGTACTGCACAAGTAGCACAATACCCTCTTAGCAACATCCATGTGCTCCTTTCGGTGCCGACCAGGAGCCACGTAGTGAGCCAGAAGGCCAAGAGGGTACGCGAGCTCAGGACGAGTACAAGTCATCACGTACATGCGGCAACCAACTAGCTTTGGGTAAGGACCACTCGGCTCTACCGACTCGTTCGAAGGTGGAGCTGAGAGTGAGCAACCTGTAGCCAGAGGAGTGGCCTGTGCCGAGGACCAGGTGAAGCCGAAGCGCTGAATGACCTGCTGCACCATGTGTGACTGAGTCAGTGTGATGGTGCGGCGTGCTCTGTCCCGGGTGATCTGCAAGCCAAGGTAGCTACGCAGTTCACCCAGGTCTGTGCACGTGCATCTCTTCTGAAGCTCCGACTTCACCAAGGCGAGAGCCTCAGTGTCAGTAGTGGCAAAGACCAAGTCGTCGATGTACACGAGGATGTAGAACGGCGGCAGCAAAGTGTCGGTGCGCAGAAACAGCGACGGGTCAGCAGTAGAAGGCGCGAACCCAAGAGCCACTGGGTGTAGTCCTCAGTGTGTTGTGCCACTCACGTGGCGCCTAGCGGAGACCGTAGACCGGCCGCCGGAGGCTCCACTGGGTACCAGGAGGGAACGACCCAGTGAAGCCAGGAGGGCGGCACAACCAGATCTCCTCGTGCGGCCTGCCCTGCAAGAAAGCTCTGGTGAAGTCAAGAGAGTGAAGCTCGTAGTCAGTCTGAGCGGCAACGTGCAGTAGCACCCGAAGAGTGGTCATCTTCGGGGTGGGGGAGAAGGTCTGGAAGAAGTCTACTCCCTCTTGCTGACTGAAGCCTCGAGCAACGTAATGAGCCTTGAAGACAGGCGGAGAACCTGGCGGCCGCTTCACCCTGAAAATCCACATGCCACTGACGATGTTCGCCCCAAGAGGGGAAACCTAGTCGACGTAAGTGCCAGTGGACTTCTAAGATGCCATCTCTGCGTCCATGGCTAACTGCCAATGAGAGGAGTACTCACCCACAATCGCCTCAGCGTAAGAGCGCGGTGTTGGAATGTCTGGTGCATCCGGGTCTCCCTCAGGTGCAATCAGCATGGACACGAGATGAGGTACAGCAGCGGCAAAGCACTCAAAATCCTCAAGGACGTCCGTGCTAAGAGCACACTCACCCCCGACGGACGGAGGACAGACAGACTCAGACTTAGCAAAAAGACTGGCAGCGTAGTCTAGACGATAATGAGCAGCAAAGTCGACAAGCTCAGCAACTAAGGCAGACGCAGCAGCTGATTCAAAGGAAGGGTCAGTGACAGCAGTGTCCAGGAGATGTGTGACAGTAGGACTAGCAGCACGAAGAGAGTCAGACTCCGAGTCAGACTCCGAGTTAGCAAGGGCAGGAAGAGAGGACGTAGGAGGAGAAGGCAGAGGGACACGCTGTGGAGCAGTGGAAAGACGAAGCGTCATCTGGTGAGTGCCTGGGACAGCAGGAGGACGCTGACGCGGGACACGACGACTAGTGCGAGCAGTACGAACAGGTGACGCAGAACGAGACTCAGGCGACATAGGACGCTCCGTAAAACCTCCTGCCAGACCAGTTTAGGGAGAAGGACTTGGAAGTGGCGAGGCAGGCTGTAACTGTGCCTGCGACTGGACAGGCAGAGGATACTCTAAGGAGGGAGCAGCACAAGGAGGAGGAGGCTGACCAAGAATCTGCTGAAGGAGCGGAACGAAGTACGGCCGCGGTCATGAAGCGCCTACAGAACCAGCAGAGACAGCACCAGAACCCCCAACATCAGCTCCAACTCCTGTAGCACCACCAGCAGCTCCAGTAGTGCCAACTCCAGTACCCCTAGTAGTACCAGCTCCAACCGCACCGTCGGCTCCAGCACCTGCGGGAGGACGAGCGTCAGCACCTCCTGCTCCAGCCCCTGCAGCACCAACCCCAGGGCCAGCAACTACACCAGCTCTAGTAAGCCCAGCGGCCTCAGCTGCACCGGCAGCTCCAGCAGCTCCAGCACCTCCAGCTCCAACTCCACCACCAGCAGCACCTCCAGCAGCTCCAGCACCAGCAGTACCTCCAGCAGCTCCAGCACCAGTAGCACCTCCAGTAGCACCAGCTCCAGCAGCTCCAGCTCCAGCCCCCAGTCCCTGCAGCTCCAGTACTGCCTGTACGAGCACCTCCAGGACCAGAGGCTCCAGTACCTTCAGCAGCACTAGGGCCTCCAGCGGGCGGCACCCCAGTGCTAGGAGCGCCGCTCCGGAGGCTGCAGCGCCGAGCGTACCACTAACGCAGCCGCTGTGGGGAGGGAGGCTCCGACCGCGACATAGCACCCGCAGCACCACCAGCTCCAACTCCGGAAGAACCCCCAGCTCCAGCAGCCCCACGCTGGAGGTTGCAACGCTGAGAGTACCACTCACGCAGCTGCTGTGAAGAGGGAGCGCCACCAGGCGTAGCACGGTCGGTCTTAGCTCCCCCAGGCTCAGCACCACCAGTCTCAGCACCCCCAGGCTCAGCACCCCCTGTCTCAGCACCCCCAGGCTCAGTACCTTGCACAGGACCAGAGTCGACAGCTACCTTGACGAGCTCAACCGACTCTACCTGGGAAACACCCGAGGGAGCACGACCCTGGGGAGGTAGGGGGTCTACCGAAGCAGCACCTAGCGTGAGGAATAGCGGCGAAGGGGGGAGCGAGGCAGTGCGGTAGGGGAAGAGACAGTAAAAGGGGACCGAATTGTCAAACGTGACGTCCTGAGAGGGCTGGACACGGCGCGAGGTGGGGTGATAAAACTGCCAGCCAGGCGCATCTGGGACAAAGCCAAGGAAGACACAGGGAATGGCACGGGAGGAGAGCTTGTCCGCGGACAAAGGCTCGACATCCCCAGACCCGGAACACCGACGCATCGCCAACCTCCCTCGTCCAATGCAGTGTGGGCGAGGTCTCTGGGGCAGAGACACGGGGCCAGAGGTTGAGCTGATGCGCACCGTACTGCACTGCAAACGGCCACATGAAATGGGGGCCAGCTGCATGGATCATGGAGGTACGAGCG